ATTATATGATTATTTTACATATACATGCATTGTTATTACGTTTAAAAAAAATGTAAAACCCTTCACGTATATCTTCCCTCCTTTTACATCCCACAAGATACAGAAGACATTTCATTGCGTGTTGGTAACGTTACTGTTTTATCCGCAAATTATTTTTTAAATTCAAACTATCTAACAAGGATTACAGGAACGTTGTATTGCTATACAAATTTTGCGGTTTTATAAAAAAATTGTTGCTTCTTCAATAAATGGAAATATTTTAGACATGCTGCAAAAGTATTGCATAAAACACACACAGGGAACTACTTTATCTTCAGAAAGATTTTATGATTACCGACATACGATACATTTCTTCGAGAAAACATATGGTAACTGCGAGCAGAGAGCAATTCGTTGGCTCATCGTTTTTACCGACGCGAACGAAGACAATTTAATTATTAAGAAAATTGATTCAAGCGTATCGTTTGTACGATTAGATGATTATGGCTAACAGCTCTCAAACATCCAGGATAAAAACACGAATTTATTTTTCAAATGTTTTAAAGATAAATTATTAATTGTAAAATAAAGATTTAAATGATTTAAAATGATACAGTATACACTCATTTCAAATTAAAACAATATGCAATTTTAAGTTGACGGGCAATTAAGGTAAAATTAACAAAAAGTTAAAAACTGCTAATAAATTAAAAAAAAAAAATTGTCCATAAAAAAACTTTTTAACGTTTAGACATTGAGCACCGGAGTAACTTATGAATTCCGTGTCTGACGTTTCTAATTAGTAAGAAAACCACGGAAACTTTCCCCATTTCCTTCGTGATGGACGTTCGCCCATAATTTATCCTAACGAAGCTAATTAAATTTAAATAAAATTGCAGTACATCAAGATAATCAAATTTCAAAGAAAATATGTTTCATTTTTTATAGCCGCTTCCAAACACTGAACTGTAACTGCTGATTAATGTCTAGATTTTAGAGATTTACATCATCACATTTTTACTAAGATAGTAGTTGCATAATTGTACACCGTCCATATTTTCCGGAGAGCAATGAAAACGGTTTATTAATATCCGGCGACTTTTCCGCACTCAAAGGGCCAAGCGTAATCTGCCATGCGATGAGGTCAAGATTGGTGTGCGAGGACGTGGGTGAGAGTGAGGGTGAGGGTGAGGGTGAGGGTGAGGGTGAGGGTGAGGGTGAGGGTGACGGTGAGGGTGAGAGTGAGGGCGACGAGTGAACATCGAGGTCCAAAGGCAGGCGCGGAAAACATTCCCCTTCGCGGGGTACGCACATACATATCTGCACACACGCACACATTTACACGTACGCGTGTACGCACACTCGCGTGGGCGATTATGGTCTAATTCCCTTGTACGCGCATTCCTAGCAACCTGATTGCCTTACCTACCAACCTACCTGCCTCTTCGCGAGGCAACGAGGAAAAAATGCGCTGGTGCACCCGATAAGCACACGCTCGAAAGGTAGGGGCGGCAGAGGCTCTTCACGATTCCACCCCTTCCCGCCGCCAGCGAAGAAAATCTATATGTATGTATCTGTGTTCCCTCTCGGTCCTTTTCTCCCGCCCGGACGCGGCTTTCTCCCGCGTTGGAGAGGAAAAGCGGAGAAAGAGAGACGGACGGCGGGCACGGTGAAAGGGAGGCAAGGCAAATGTCAATATCGACGATGCATCGTTGAGAGGGCGGGAATGAGGGCGTAATTAATCGTCGAAGCCAAGAAATCTCTTCCCTCTTTCTCTTCCTCGTTCGATCAATTCGCCGCTTGTCTCTCTCTCTCTCTCTCTCTCTCTCTCGCTCGCTGTTCTTTTCGCGCTTCGCGCGCGTTAACATCCGCATTTCTACACGGAAAATCTACGCACGCTCACGGAGAGATCTACGGCGAGAGAGAAGTCAATCTGTAACAGATTCAGACTCCGGTCTCTCATCCTTCCACTCGTTCACCTATCCCACAAATTCTCGTTATCAACAGGAGAGGACATTTCGAATGTCTCCGTTGACGTGACTCACAAAGTAAACAGCCCTTTAAAAAACAGCCCTATAGCTTACGGTGCATCGAGAAAGCAAGAAGGCAGGCCTGGTGGCAGCCGGTGCTTATATTTATTTAAGTTTCAACGACACCGAACATTTGCCCCCGGAGAAAACGTTAAACGCGAAGAAAGCGCCCGGGCCGCTTCTCGGCATTACGGCACATCTGCTATGCGCGTCTTCTCAAAATCACAAGGAAGAATCCCAATTTGCGGTAATTTAACGTAATAAGAATCGGAAGAAGAAGCAACAATTCTGCGATATACCTCGCTCTCTTCTACTCTCACCGCTCGAATAGCCGCGGTGTACGGAACTTCGGATGTTCGCGGCTCGAAGAGGAACAATACGACACCGACGTAGCGTACGTTTTCTCTTATCGGGAGCTGCGCATCTGCCAGTACGAGGAAATGTGTTTACGAAATATTTTAATTACCTTATCGCCAAATCGCCGCGCTCTCTCCGGCAGCTGCCGGTCGAAACGCGTGCTTCTAATTGCCGAGCTAGACGGTAGAGTCTTTTGCGGCGCGGCTCCTTTTTACAGGCGAGAATGTATCACCCGATCGAAAGTGTTATGCACTTGCGCGATGTTCATTCACGCGATCGTAGAAATTTTTTATCGAAAGTCTTATAAGGAATGACTTTTCCCCTTCTCTCGCTCGTGGCGCGACTTAAAATGGCGTCGTCGGTATCGCACGCAATTATTTTGCACGACGCCATAATGTTCCGAATTTATCGACGTCACTGCTCGGTTACAAGCAACAAGGTCAAACAAGAATTATTGAATTTGTCGATTTCAATAAAAAAAAGAAAATGAAATATATAGATAAAATATCTCAATATTTTATATTTTATTTGATATGTTACCATTGGAAAATCGCATTTCTCAAAATCACAAGAAAATAAATGAAAAATCATACAAAAAAACGATGAAAAATCTCGCAATTTTCAAACACCGCGTAAAGTTTTAGATAAATTAGAAAAATGATATTGAAATGTATGGATATTTGATTGGCTGCCTATACCTGATCGTATAAGAAGACATATATACATAGAAAAAAAAATTAGCTTTTAAGAAAAAAATATTCTCATATATAAACAAAAATATTATAATCTTTTTAAAAATTTTAATCTTGATTTGATTGAATTTGTATTGATGCAAACTACTTATTTTTGCTCAACTCAACATTAAAAGTCTTCTATATGAAAATTATAATATTTTTCTTATGAGAATATATAGTCTTGATATAAAATTTAATTTTTATCCTGTGTGTAAGAAAGCATTAAAAGAAATTAAAACTTTTCATCTCTTTCTTCTTTAATATCTTAGAGCATCCATATTGAAAAGTGGTGATTTTGATACATCGATCATCGATGTTGCCTCTCTGATTTATTTTAGAATTCCAACCGCATATTCTCCGCGTGTCAATAAAAACGTTCGCTATCATTTTAGCATTCTAGAAATTTATTTTTCTTTCTTTGCATCCATTGCGCGCATATCTTTTGTATTATATACACATACTGGAGAACGAATAAAATTGTCAAACGTCAAAAATTGCAGAATTCTGACGTTCGCAGAAAATCTTTGTCGCAAGACAGGCTTGTTTCATTTCCGCCACTTTCGGTATCATAATTTGATTTAAAAAAAATCGTCTGTTTTATCGAACAGTTAAAAGATTTGAGTTTATTCCGAAAAGTTCTCTAGTCGGGACCGACGGCACTTCTTGGCGCAGCTGGAAACTACGTTGATAGACGTTTAGACCACGCTGGTTTTTCGATCAGCTGACTTTAATTTCATCAAACCATTTTCATGGCGCGACAGATGGCTGACGATGGACGAACGAAAAAGCCGTTGCACCCATTAGAAATGCGGCGGTTAAAAATGGTAGATACGTCGCGACGGAAGGAAGGACAGGTTGCCGAGCGTGCAGTGCAAAAAATGATGATACTTAAAAATTTCCGAATAATGATTTCGACGGTGGAAAATTATAATTAACGCCACCGAGAAGTTTACGAAATTATTCCCCGCGTCTAAATACTGTCCGACGAAAACAACCCCCGAGAAGAGTGATACTCTTCCGCGAACTTCGAGCGGGACAAAAATGGAGGATTCGCAATAACAATTATATCCGATAGAATAATATTTCTTGAAATCCGCATCCATTTCTCTCAGAACAAAACCAATGCTCTCTAAATGCCGTCG